CTCAGGAGCCAGCTCTCCCCGGGGAGGCAGTCAGGGAGAGCTTCTGGAGGAGGCCACCCTTTCAACATGGAAGCCTAAAATCGGGAAAGGATGTGTTGGTGTGGGAAAACAGCCTGGTCCACGGCACGGCACTCCAGAGAGATAATAGCGACCCGCCCCCCCCCCCCCCCCCCCCCCCCCCCGCCTCCGCCTACCCAGTCTTCAGGGGTGAGTTGAGGGGGCAGCTGAGCTCTGTGATTATGGCCGCAGGGGCCTGGCTCCTCAGGGCCGGGGAGGTGATGGGGCTCCTGAACTCCAGGCAGCCATCCCACCTGGCGGCTCCGAGTCCCCAGCTGGGAGGCATTTGTTCTGCATTCTGCACGCTGATTACAGCTCTGCCAGGGTTAACCCCTGCACTCCTGGGCACAGCCCCCTGACAGGGGAAGGGAGGGGACCCCAGGAAACTGGGAGAAGAGAAAACCACAGGAAATGGGGACTTTACAAGGATACCCAGACCCCTCCCTTTCTCCCATTTGCCAGAAGGAAAAACTGAGATGGATCCTTAAATCAGGAGTGGAGCCAGGAACAGGAGTGGAGCCTACGTGGAGAGGTACTTCTCTCTGGAGAGAGGCTTCAGATGAGGGGAGAGAGCGCCTCTCAGCCTCAGTTTACCCGTCTGTAAAATGGGGCAAAGAATTCCTGAGTCTCCAGCTGCCTCACTAGCAGAGACAAAGTGCCTGGCGCATAGTAGGGAGCTCCTCAACCCCTGGTGGTTCCCTGCCCATCCCCAGCCCAGCACTAAAGAGGATGGAGCGGGCGCGTGGCAGGTTGTAATCATTTCCATTAAGACTGCTCTCTCTGCCACCTCTCTGCGGCTTGTAGCAAGTAGCAAATATCCGCGCTGGTATTATACCCGTTTTACAGACAAGAAACTTGAGGCTCAGAGAGGCCAAGTGTCTTGCCCAAGGTCACACACCGGCTGGGAAGCCCATGGCCAGGATTTGGGTTCAGGGCCTCTGACATCACACGACACTGCTTCCTCTGCCAGCTGCTCTGGGGAGCCTCTGACTAAAGTGACGTATAACTTATTGTCTAACCAGGTCACCTTGGAGAGTGAAAGGAAGTGCTATTAATAATTACGCTGGGACAGTAGGCGTTGTCCGGGACTGTCCTGGGCGAACCTGGAGTATGGCCATCCTGCCACAGATGGGGGCTTTGGACAAGTCACTTCACTTCTCTGCATGGACATGGACATGATGGCAGGATTGTCTCTCGGGGGCTCTCGTGAGGATTAAATGTGATGCTGCATGTGAGAGGCTACAGGGCTGGGGTGCCTCAGATGCTCAAAAAGTGCTCGTTATTATACTGCTATGAGTGACAACCACGGCAGCACTAGGCCCTGCCTCCGTCATTGTCCTTCCAGTCCATTCTCGGCTCACAGCAAGAGCTTCCAGACGCACACCTGATCACACCGTCCACTGGCTCCATCCCCGCCTCGGCGAGGTGGGACACCTGACCCGAGATCAAGCCCCTAAGACCTGGCCTGGTTCTCTCCCAGGCCTTGGCTGTGCCCCCATCACTGCCTCTCAGGGCAACCCCCCTTCCTCGTCACCCGAGCTTTCAGCGCCTCTGAGACTGCTCTAAATTCTCCCCCGGACAAGGCACCTCGGAGCCTGACCTGGGGAAAGAGCTCCAACCGACTGGAGCCTCAGTCCTGCTGCTGTGCCACTTGAACAAGTGCTGGAATTCTTTATACCTCAGTTTCCCCATCTGTCCAGCTGGGGAAATAACCCCCGCCCTTGGCGGCCAGCATGAGGATTCAGGGAGCCAACGAAAGAGGTGAAGCACTGTGTGAAGGTAAAGCCCTTGTCTCCTCCACCTGTGTGTAAAGATGGCTCCGGTCCCCAGCCAGGACAGCGCTCAGACTATTTCCTGCAGCCACACCTGCCTCCTCCACACGGATCCTTAGCTCCAAGCCTTTGCTTGTGCGGTCTCCTGCCAGGTGTGGGTGCACTGCCACTGCCCTCCCCTCTGCCTCTGGGTCCTTTCCAGCCCCACTCAGCTAGCCCTCCGTCCTCTGCAGGCTGTGTGATGGGCAGCCCGCAGGACTGCCTGCCTGCCTGGCCTCCCGGAGCTGGATGGCAGAACAACATGAGGGCCGGCTCAGAGTCTATCTCCCCTCCTGGAGGGTGGCACCGGCACTATGCATGGCTGAGTCCCTGCCCCTCACGGGCAGGGTTAAGCGGCACCCAGTAAAGTCTTCTGAAACCATCCGTCCCAGATGTGACCTCATTCACCTGTTCAGCAAGCCGCCTCGGTGCTGACACAGCAGAGAACACTTAACACAGCATCTGATGCCTGCTCCTATTATCCCATTAAACAGATGGGAAAACGAACGCACGGAAAAGAGAAGGCGTGGCCAGGGCAGGATGGGAAGCCAAACTGTCGGGCTCCAGGGTCCACAGACTTGACCACCACGTCACACCACTCTGCCAGTGAGCTGCACCCCAGTCTGGCTCCAGTCTGTGGTCTGACACCCGCGGAGCCTGTATTGGACTGAAAGGAATGGGGGGCTGGGAGAAAGGGAGCGGGCTTCGCAGCTTGTAGAACTCAAGGTCTAAGCGAGTCTCGGGGCATTTAAGGCCTGTGAGATCGGACTTCCCCCAAACTCCCGCAGGGAGCGGCTGGAGAGCCCAGGAGCAGAGTTATCAGGTCAGGGCGCCGCAAGGCCACGCGGGGAGCCAGTGGGGGAGGGGAGGGCGGCAGAAGACCCGAATCACCTCGCCCGGGCAACCCGCGCATTCCCGGGCGCCCCTGCCCCCGGGCAGCAGGCAAGGGCCTGGCCTGGCGCCCCCTCCGGCTCTGGCCGCCGCTCGGGGCGGCAAGATCGGTGCCCGGGAGGGGGGCCCGGCCCCGCCCGCGGGCGGGAGGAGAGAGGCGGGGGGAGGGAGCGCGCCCACACCCCGCCCCCGCCCCGGAGCCAGCCCGCGGAGCCCGCGGCCAGGGCGGCGCAGACCGGCCCAGCCACTCGCCCGGGCTGCTCGCCGGGACGCGCCGCCGCCGCGTCCGCCCTTCCACCCCCGCCCCCGGCCTCGCCGAGAGAAGGTAACAGCGAGCCGGCCCGCGGGTCCTCGAGCCCCTGCCGGGCGTGCACTCCTGCGAGGACTCTGCGCCCTCCTAGGCTCTCGGGGGCTGGGACCGGGGCAGGGGGCCCGCCTGCCCAAGCGCGCCCGGGTGCCAAGAGAAAGGCCCGGAGCGCTGGCTGAGGGAGAGCCACGGGGACGCTCCAAGTTTTGGGTTGTTTTGTAATATTCCAGGCGGGCGGAGGGGGCAGAGAATTGGAGGGGGTGAGCTGTGGACACGGTTGCGGGAGGAGGGGGCGAGCGGGCCGTCTCCGCTCTTTCCTGCCCAGGGGGAGGAAGGGAAGGAGCGGGGAGGGGGCGACTTGTCGGCCGGCCGGGAGGCCGGCGCGGAGAGCGGGAAGTGGGGGGTGGGGGGACCGCTGGGGAGATGGACCAGGCACCCTGCCCCCTCCCCAACCGCCGCATTCCAGGCCTGAACAGTGCATGAGGTCATCCTGTCCGGGTCCCTTCGGGCCAAGGCAGCCGCTGCCCCCTTCCCCCGCGGAGCGACCCTCCGCATTCTACCCCTGCCTCCCAGAGGGAATGCTTTGTGGCTACAGTCTTTCCCGGACTTCCAATCCCGAAGGCCTTTGAGATTGTTCTGTTCTTGCCGAACCATGCGAGACCCGCGGAGTGTGAAGCCCATTTTCTGGGCCGGGAAACTGAGGCTCAGAGAGGCGAAAGGACTGTCCCAGAGGCCGCAGCCGCACGAAAGGCGGCGTGGGGCCTGGAAGCCGGGCGTGGGGGAGACTCGGCCCGCAGCCGCTCCGCCACGCGGAGTCGACGGCTGATTCAGCTCTCACTTGGGCTGATGCCGGCAAGCAGCTTCTCTCCTCCCCTTCCTCCTTCCTCCCCCTGGCCCGTGGTGCCCCCTCCTCCTACCCCCTCAGAGTCCTGAGAACCGGGTCCCCGCTGCCACACTGGACGGCTTGCTGCCCCCTTTCGGGGCTCCTCCTGTCTCCACCTTGAAGCGCTGGACTTTGAGGGGCATGAGAAACCTCCCTTCCGGGAGTTAACCCCTTATTCCTGAGGCCAGAGCAGCCCTAACCCAGACAGGGTCCCGCTCCAGCAGCGGGAGTGCTTTTACAGCTGGACACTGGCGGGAAGGGGGCTGTGGGCTCGCGAGTGGCCTCCAGGATGAGAGGCGGTGCCGGTGGTGCACGTGGGCGGCCTGCGGGTGACCCCCAGGTGAGCGCCGGGGTGCGGCCACCCCCGCCCACCCCGATACCCGGGTCGGACAGCCCCTGGCCTCCCCCAGCCCCGTGTGCCTCCACAGCGGCCCCTGTTGGCCTCTCCTAGCGCATGCTCCCTGCTTCGGCCCCAAACCTTGTCCTTGCGGTCATTACCACCGCTGAGTAAGCTCCTACCCAGTGCCCAGGCCTGACTGTCTTCGGTAGGGTAAATATGAGGACCTGGGACACTGAGGCTGCATGGTGACCACCCTTGCCCAGGTCGCAGTCACTGCATCTGCTGGGCTGTCTCCCAGGCCTGCTCTTCCCCTGCTCAGCCACTGGGCACGGCCTCCTCCAACACTGCCCCCTCCAACACCGCCCCTGGGGGGATTTCCAGCCACATCACTTTTTTTTGGCTCTGTGACCTGGGTCAAGTCCATTCCCTTTGTGTGCCTCGGTTTTTTCATCTGTAAAATGGGCATTGTGAGCATTGGCAGGTAGTATTCCTGGGCTGGTGAGGGGAGAGAGCCTTGCCCCAAGGACACCAGAGCCCAGCTTACTCTGGGGCCAGGTAGGGCACACCTGATCGCCAGCATCAAGTGCCAAATAGCTGCCACCAAGGGTCCCCAGAATGAGAGTTGTTAGCATAAGGATGTTGGATTTGAATGCAGGGCTGCCCTGCCCCGGGCTCTGAGGGTTAATTACAGTACCTTCCACTGTACAACTCCCCTGGGAGGGCCCAGCCTTCACTGTGCTGCGGTTCCAGTTTCCACGTGGGAAAACGGGTCCCCAGTGGCAGTGCCCTGTCCCTGCCCCACAACGCAGCAGGGCCTCCCACTGCAGTGGGCAGAGTGGAGGCCTCCTGGAGGTCTCAGAGGCATGTAGCAGGTGGGACTGTCAGAAGATTGGGGCGCAAGCTGGTCTCCCAGGTCAAAGTGGCCATGGGGGCTGGGAGAGAGGTGCATGTGGCCACTAGCAGACACAGTGACCCCTCCACATGACATTTCAGAATGAGTCCCCCCAGAGATTCATCCATCTCAGCAGAGCATGCAAACCTGCCACGTGCCACATACCTGCCACGTGACCTTGGCCAAGTCCCTTCCCTCGGAACCTTGGCGCTCCCTGTGAACGGGCTAACCCTCCCGCCTTGTGGGGCCGTTGGAGGCTCAGATGACGTCATGGGAGGGCTGGCCAACTGCAGAGCGCTTCATAACTTCAGCAAACATTCCACGAGGACTTCTCGGTGCCGGGGGTGCCAGGGAAAGGATGATTCAGAGCCCCCCCCCCAGGGGGAGGAGTTAGGTTTGGGGGGAGGATCAGTTGGTGGGAAGGGAAGAGAATGTAGTCAGAAAACAAAGCAAGCTTTGTCTTATTGCTTTCTTTGTTTTTATCTTGTTATTTAACCTATTTTGAATTTCAAATAACGCTCAAAGGGCAGTACAAAGATTTTTATCCTTGGAGGTGGCAGCAGAGTTGTAGAAAAAAGCCTTGACTCAGATCTAGGTGTTTTCGCTAAGGATCTTTATCAGCTTTCGTCACCTGAGGTCCCAGGCCCGGTGGAGGTAAGTGACTTGCCCAAGGTCACACCGTGAGGCCGCTGACCCCCGCTCCTACCTCACTGGGAAGGTGGCAAGGGGTGATCCTTTGGCTTGAAGGTTATCGCAAAGACCTCCCGTGACGAAACCGGAATTAATTTGGCACTTGCCGTGTGCAGAGCCCAAGCTGGGCGCTGGGAGGGAGGAAGGCCGAAAATCCAGGCAGCTGCCCCACCCTCGGCACGTGGTGTGCATCTGGGGAGACAAGGCTGGGCTCCAGAGCCTGTGAGGGGCCATGTGAGTCAGAGGCTCTGAGTTCGAGTCTCAGCCAACTCTCTCAATGTGACCTTGAGCAAGCTTGACCCCTCTCTGGGCCACAGGAAAACCAGAGGTCAGACCCACAGGCTCATAGGCGTCCTCCAGCCTGCGCTTTCTGTGATACTGGAAGGGATGAGGTCGGACCAAGGGAAGCTGAGAGAAGATTGGGGCTGGGGGCGGGGGGCGGAGATTAGAAGGGGAGGGAGTGGGCAAGGAATAGCTTTTGGCACCAGCTGAGCTTCTTCTAAAACTTGCTCCCTGACGACAAGGCTCCTACATCAATTTGACAAACTCTGACAAAGTTCTTCCCTGCGGGCCTTGTCAGAGCCTTGAATATGCTCAGACATGCAGGAGGCAGCTGGCAAAAGCCATTTTGGAGCACAGGAGCCTTTTTCCAGGAAGCACCTTGAAGGCGGAGGGTTCTGAGGAACCTCTGCGCGCGCTGTTTACAGAGCAGTGCGCACAGCTTGGGCGGGTCTGCCGGGCCTCTCTGAGTGGAAGACAGTTTAACCCACAGGGGAGGGAGATGAATTGCTCAACCTGCCAGCAGGAAGCAGTGTAGCTTGGGGCTTAAGGGCTCTGGGTTTGGGGGGCCCTGCTTCACCATTTCCTAGTGTGTAGCCTCGGGCAAGTCACTGTGCTTCTCTGTGCCTCAGTTTCTCCTCTCAAATCTGGTACCTCCCTTGGGGCTGTTGGGTGGGTTACATGAGTGATGAATGGAAGTCACTGGCGCTTAGTAGGTGCTTCATGAACGGGCCCTGTGTAATGACCATTCGTACTCTTTACTGATGCACATGCTACGTGGACAGCTCGATGAATTTTTGGGCCCCCTCCTGGTCAATACGGCTCAAAGGCAACCGCAATTCTGATTTCTACCAGTATCTTTTAGTTTGGCCTGTTTTTCAATGTCCTGTACATGGAAGCATAGTGTGTCCTCCTCTGTGCGTCTGCTTGGCACTTTGTTGGTGATCCCATCCCTGTGGTTGGACATAGTTGTTGGTTCTCTTTAGCTGTTATCTATCATTTGGACCCCGATCCCCCAGGCCCACCATCTCTCTTCTCTGTGTCTTTCTCTCAGGTCTCCACCCCCGGGCGGAAGAGGGTCTGTCCATGTCTGAGACACGCCTCCTGCCTTCTCTGTCCTCGGACTGAGCTCTCTGTCCTTGGACAGAACGTCTGCAGCTGCTGCCGCGGGGCCAGGAGCTCAGCCTCAGGGAGAGAAAAGCCATGGACCCCCCACAGCCTCAGCATTTGGGGGCCGCACCTTAGCAGAGCAGAGGGGCAGCCTCCGTCCGCCCCGTTCCAGGGAAGGAGGGAGCTGAGAAGTGGACCCTGAGCCCAGCGCTCTGCCCCGCCCAGGCCCCGGGTGGGCATGGACCCGCAGCCGTGAACAGCCAGAGCTGATGCCGGGCCCCCAGGGGGCCGGAGGAGCCCCCATCATGAGCCTTGGCAAGCTCTCACCAGTGGGCTGGGTGTCCAGCTCGCAGGGGAAGAGGCGGCTGACTGCAGACATGATCAGCCCCCCGCTTGGGGACTTCCGCCACACCATGCACGTGGGCCGCGGCGGGGATGTCTTTGGCGACACCTCCTTCCTCAGCAACCACGGTGGCAGTTCCAGGGGCAACCACCGCTCACCCCGCAGCTTTCTGGCCAAGAAGCTGCAGCAGGTGCGCAGGGTGGGGGCGCCACCCCGGCGGATGGCTTCGCCACCCGCGCCCTCGCCCGCGCCGCCCGCCGTCTCCCCCATCATCAAGAATGCCATCTCCCTGCCCCAGCTCAACCAGGCCGCCTACGACAGCCTCGTGGTGGGCAAGCTCAGCTTCGACCGCAGCCCTGCCAGCTCCACGGACGGCTGCTCCGGTTACGGTGAGGCGGGGCCATGTGCCCATTTTTCAGATGCTGAGGCTAGAGGGTTCGACGGTTCAGTGGGAGCTTACCATACCCACAGTAGTTTGGTCACACTATGGAGGTCAGGCCCAGACCCCAGACCATGGATGGGGAGGGGGTTCGGGGGCGGGAACCCCTCCTCAAAACCCACTGAGGTTGAGAGGTCAGGAAGTGGGGTTTGACTTCTCCCTGCCCCCAACTTGCCTCCCCGTCTCTGGGCCCTCGGCTGGGCCCATCCACCCCCTCCTGCCCTTTCAACCGAAGCTGCCCCTTGGGTCAGAATGATGTAGGGGAGAGACTAAGAGCCTGGGCCCTGGATTCAGATGCTGGTTCTGCCTGATTCCCAGCGAGCCGAGTGACCTCTGTGATGTCAAGCCCCGGCCTGTATAATGGGTTCCTTAGGGTCATTGCTAAGATTCAGTGTATCGGGTGTGGCCCAGAGTCTGGCACATAAGAAGTGCTCGGGACACAGGAGCTGTTGTGTTGTTATTCAAACAGAGGTTCCTATAACTTGACAAATTTGGAAAAGCACTCACATGGACCGAAGCCTGAGGCCCTTCCTGGCCTGGTAGGGAGTGGCAGGTGTCACCTTGCTGGCCGGATAGCTCACCTGGGAACCAGGGCCCCTGCTGCCACCTGGTGGCCATTCCCTGCCCTGTGGCTTTGCCCAGCCACCAGGGGCTTCCGCCAGTGCTCCCTTCCGCTCCAGGGGCGCTGCTCAGAACCCGACGGAGGGCTGGTCCACAGTAACCCCACTGTGTCTCAGGCCTGGTGGTCCTGGAGCCGGGGGCTGCACCAGAAGACCCTCGGAGGGCAGGCATCTGTGCCTTGAGTCTGATTTCTATGCAGTCAGACTCCGGCTGCTGGTTCCATCCCTATGCCCACAAACCAGCCCACATGCTATGGGTTCACCTGCAGCCATCGGCCACTGTCATGGCAGGGGACCCGGGGCCATGGCCAAGTTCACAGCCGGGACTTGAGTCAGGAGATTTGAGCTGCAGGCTTGGCTCCACCCTGTCAGACGCTGTGGCCCTGAGCAAGCCCTTCTCCTCATCCCAATCTGAGCCCCACTTTCTTCATCTGCAAAATGGGGATGAGGATTCTGTCAGTTTTCAGCTTCCAAGGTTGACGGGAGGATCACACGGGAGACTCCGGGGTTCACTATATTGGAAAGATGGAAGAAACGGAGGCCAGATGGGGGCTGACTGGGGGAGGCCACATAGCAAGCTGGGGTTGGTCCTGGCTCTCCCCTCCCCAGCTCCTGGTTGGGACCCCAGCTATGACCCTGCTCCCTGTTTCTCTTCTAGGCCCGGACTCTGGGTTTTGCACCATCTCCCGCCTGTCTCGCTCGGAGAAGCCTCGTGACCGAGACCATGAGAGCTCCTTCCCCCCTGAGCCCGAGCTTCGCCGCTCTGACTCCCTCTTGTCCTTTCGCCTGGACCTCGACCTCGGGCCCTCTCTCCTCAGCGAGCTGCTGGGGGCCATGAGCCTCTCTGACGCCTCTGCAGCAGAGGCCCCAGCCCCAGCCCCAGCCCTTGCCACAAATCCATCAGCCACTGCTACAAGCCCCCTGGCCCCTGCCACAGGCCCCCCAGCCCCTGCCACAAGCCCCCCACCCCGTGGACACTGCCCCAATGGGGTAACCACTGGGTTGGGCCCGCTGGCTGAGGGGAGGGCCAGCCCGGTAGGAGAACGTCCCCTCCCACCTGCTGACATGGCTCCCGGCAGGCAGTGGGGAGCAGGCTGGGGGGGCAGCCACCACTACACTGCGACGGATGCTAGGCAGGAGCTGGTGGGGGTGCTGCCCCAGACTCGGGCCTCTTGGGAGAGCACGGATGACGAGTGGGGAGCCCCCCGGGCAGGCAGCAGGGCCCCCGTGCCCAGCACAGTGCAAGCAAACACCTTCGAGTTTGCCGATGCTGAGGAGGACGACGAAGTCAAGGTGTGAGTGGCCAGCCATGGGCTCAGGACGCTGCCCAGCCTCGGGGCACAGCCCGCGAAGAGCCCAGGTGCATAGCCAGTGCCTCACCTGATGGCTGGGTCCTGCCGACGACATGGGAAAACCCAAGTCGCCTCCAAACCCCTCCGCACCTCTGCAGGACAGGCACAGGAGGGAGGCCGGAGGAGACCAGGCTTGTTCGGGGACCTGGGTGTTCCCATGGACCTCGCCAGGCTGCCCCGCCTCCCCCCACTGCCCCTCTGGACCCAGTGGCCATTCCGTAGGCCCACCTCCTACCCTGTGCCACCCCCACCAGCTGGAGGGCGCAACCTCACAGAGCAGCCTTTGTGCTGGGGAAGCTGTCCTTGCTGGGGGGCGGGGGGGCCTGACACACAGGGCCTTTGTCTCCCGCCTGCCCCAGTCCATCCCGGAGCTGCCCCCAGCAGGGTCCCCGCTGCATCCCTGAGAGCCCCAGCCCTCCCTAAGCCTGCTTCCCCAACATCCCAGCCCCCACTGGTCCCAGAAGCCTCAGAGAAAAGTCAGGGGGACCTCACACGAGAGGAACCCCACCTTCCTGTGCACCCCGGACCTGCATCCTGGCCCTGATTAAAAAGGCTTTTTTGATAAAAGGTGTCCTTCAAGATGTTTGAGAACCTGGGAAAACAACGTCAGCTCCACCTGCTTAAATACTCTCGGCATCCAGTTTGGGAAGCCAAGGACCCCCCCCAGGGCCCCCAGGGACGGGCAGGGCCGAGGCGGGGGGTAATGAGTAACCAGCCTGGAATGAAGCTTCCGCAGTAAGAGGCCAGGTGGGAGCTCTTATCTGCAGTTCCGGGAACAGCCCCTCGCCCAGGTGCCTGGGACCAGTGTCTGCCCCATAATCCCACAGGGCAGCTTGGCACTCGCCCCGGTGATAACAGGGGCCAGGTAGGCAGGAGTGGGTGCTTAGAGGTTTTGAGAGCATGTCACAACCCCTCTTTGGCAGTCATACGGCTTTCTGCCTCAGTTTCCTTTTCTGTATCCTGAGGATGCTGGGAGCACTAAAATGCATGGAAAACACTAACCACAGTTCCTGCCACAGAAAGACGACAACGGTTGGTTGGTTTGTTCTTAGTCTTGGAGGAGGAAAGTGGGGGGGAGGGAGGCAGGGGAACCAGGACCCATGGGCTGCCGATCCTGTGTGACAGAGAGGGAGTCTGCACTGGGGGTCTTCCAGCCTGGCGAGGTGCTGCCCACTCATTGGAGCTTGAAGGAGCAGACGCTGAAGCCACCCTGCACGCTCAGGTAGCTCAGGTGGCTGTGGCCCAGCCTGTTGGGAAAGGTCAGCAGGTGCCCGTCTGGCAGCTTCACCTTGAATCCATCGCTCTCAAAGGTCACGGTGAACTGCGGTGGGAGGGGCGTGTCAGGGAGGCAGGAGGCCCCCTGGAAACCAAGGCCGTGCCTGGTGGCGCGAACAGTGCCTGCACTTGTCTAGGCCAGGGTGCCCTACCACCTGGGCTCTCCCCTTATCTTCCTCGGGCCCTTTTCCCTTTTGACCTTACCTTGACCTCTGATCCTGGGCTGAAGCATATGTGATTTTCCCGTTGCTCCTTCCCCCAGCTGTCGCCATCCCGTGAGTTGCAGACGATAGTGGATTCACAGAAGCGTGGGTTGAAATGCAGATTCAGCTTATCCGCCCCCTGGCCCAGATTAATCACAAAGCTGGAGGGGAAGGGGTAGCAGGTGAGGATTAGGGGCCAGGCCTGGGTAAAACAGCTTGGGTCACAGGGTCTTTTTTGATCACATGCTGGAAGAATCACCAAAAAAATGTCATATTAATTGAGGCCTGTGCCATAAAATAAGGGAGGTGACAACCTGGCCAGAATTGGCGCTGCAGTATCACATTCCACTTAAAGCATGGACTTAGGCTCTCCACAGGAGGGTAACTGATAGTGACAGCTTCAGGAATTGGGCATGTCTATCCTGGGAGAGAGAAGTGCCACCCTTAGCTATCTGAAGACCTAATAAGTTTGTCCACAAACAGTTGTCAACCTAAGGTGGTGAGCTCCCTGTCATTAGAGGTATGTGATCAGGGGTTGTGTGACCTCTTGACAGGGTCACAACAGGAGCCTGGGTTAGACCTTGAGGGTCCCTGAGAGCGGGACATTCTGAGTCATGGGGTGGCTTCACTGGGAGGTGTCCCATATGCCTGCAACCTGAGGGACCTGAGTAGGACAGAGGGGTGATTTTCTCTGGGCTCCTACCCCGTGCATCTGCCTGCCCCTCCCCGACCAAAAGATGATGGATTTGAGTCCCAAGAAAGGCTGAAACCGTTCTGCACGTGGGTGATGCTGAGGGTGACACCTGAGATGGGTGACTGTCCCGTTCTAAGCAGAGGACGCAGATGAGGCCACTTGGCGCCCCCTGGTGACCAGCCCTGGTTTAACATGTGGAGGGGAAGCCTCTGGCCGTCCCTGGGGTGAAGAGTGGGCAGGGGGCTTTCAGTAGAGACCCTTGACCCACAGTGGGCTGGGTAGAGCTCCAGGGGCTTCTCCACCTCCCTCCAGTGTCTGGTGGGCCCAGGAACAGAGCACATGGCGTGAGCTGTGAAATCCTGGGGGTCTCAGACCTGGCCTAGATGTGAAGGCAGGCCCCGCGGGAGAACCCCTGAGGGAGAGCCAGCGAGGATGTCAGAAAGGCCCCCGTGGCCAGAGGGCGCGCTCGCCTCTGACCATCTCACAGGGCTGCCTGCCCGTTCCTGGTCTGTGGACAGTCCCTCCTCCCCCCCGGCCCCCCCTGACCCCCAGCTCACCCTTCGGCGTCGTTGGCGATCTTGCCCTTGATCTTCAGGGTTGTCCCCAACTTCATGTCCATATTCATCATCTCAAATTTCCCCTGAGCCAACAGAGAAACATCCCACGGGAAATCAATCGCACAGCCACCCAGCACTCTTCTCTTGGGGAAGCCCATGCGCGAGCATTGCCCCGTGTGGCCGCAGGTCTCTCTCCCTCTGCACGCAGGAGGGCACTGAGCTGGGCAGGGGAAGAGTGGAAAGCCTCGGGTCGAAGCTTTCCAGAGCCCCTGTGCCTGTTTTCTTCCCTCTCTCCACCCCAGCCCAACTAGAAGAGCGGTGGGTCTGGAGGCAGGGCCCAGCTGAAGGAACCTCAGTCTGCCCATCTGTGCAATGGGTAGAGTGGTCCCTGCTGACCTCACAGCTCCCACATGTGTCCAGGTGATGCGGGCACAGGCGCCCTCGGCAGCATCCCCCAAACAAGGGTTGGTTTGGTTCCTGCACAAACTCGAAGTCACTTTACTAACAGAAGATGACTATACCAGACACCAAGCACACACGGGTCTTGGCCCACCCCAAACCAAGAATCTATAAAACTCCGTAAGGCACGTGTCTGAACACATCCATCAGAGTCCCTCTCCACACCTCTCTTTCCTCATCTGTAAAATGGGCCAATTGGATTTCTTCACTCAAAACCAGTTGCTGAGTGCCCGCTCTGTGACAGACACCATCGGAGGTCCTGAGGGTAACAGCCCACGTTCAGGCTGGGTGGGAGAAGCGAGATCATGTCTGTGAAGCCCCACGCATAGGGCCTGGCCCCGACGGACGGCCAGTCGAGGGCGGCCATCATTATGGTTCCTCATTGTTGTCATTCGTTTACTCCGTATTTTTCCGTAGGACCTGGGCAGTGTCTGGATTTCGGTACAGCAGGAGCTTCCTGCAGGTGCACTGTGGGTAAAAGGGAGGGTCTCGAAGCTGGGTTTTCAGAGCTCATTACCCAAGACCAAGAAAACCTCCATTTGGCACATCGGTAATGGAAGGGTGTGAGGTCAGGCTGCACAGGATGCAGGAGGCACCGAAGATTTAGAACGCTTTGTGGGAGAACACGTTTACATTGTGGGATTGCTGTTCACGGATATGTTTCCTATGGTTTTTTTTCTGGAAGAAGCGCACCTGAGAAGCCCTGAACCAACTCATGGGCCCGGGACACGCTGCCAAAAGTCAAAGGCAGCATCCACAGGAGGGTGATCAGTAACCCCCGCTGGCGGCTGCCACCTTTCCACGCAGGAGGAAAGCGATCCATGGTTCAAACATCGGGGCAGGGTGGCCCAGCTCTCCCAGAGGCGTGCATTTGGAAAGGAAGAGGTGATGCACAGCCCCGGAGAGTGGAGCGAGGCCCTCAGACGCCACGATGCCTTCGAGCAGGTCTCTCAGCCTCAGCCCTTGCCACATTTGGGGCTGGGGGATCGTGGTGGGGCTGTCCTGTGCATCCTAGAGGGTGGAGCAGCATCCCTGGTCTCTATCCACCACACACCAGTAGCACCCTCTCCCCAGTTGTGACAACTAAAAATGTCTCCAGATATGGCCAAATGTCCCCTGGGGGCAAAAATCTCCCCATCTTAGAGAAGGCAGGGGGCCTGACCTCTCAGAATGATGCTCAATGTAACAGCTGGATCGCCGTCTTTAGAGCAAGACAGGCAGGATTAAAATTCTCCTCCAGCCTCTCACAAATACATGAGAACTTGACCACCCAAAGAGGTTCAGACGTCATGAGGAACGCCAGGCACCCACAGATACACACTCTGCAACCTGCACACATCCCCCTGAAGGCGTCACGAGCAGGACAAGCCCTCCCTGTCTCCCCACAGGACCCTGTGACTGTCGGGGAGGGTCTGGGGTGCGGAGAAGCACCCCCACTCCCTTTGTACCTCCTGGGGGCTGCCTAGCCGAAACAGGAGAACCCAAGCCCCCAAGGATGGAGGTGGGGGCTGCGGGGCAGGAGCACAGACAGGCCAGGGCCGGGGGTATGTCGGGACCAACAGGGATGCCTGTGGGGGTGTGCAGGCCCGGGATCTCCCCACTCAACAAAGTCTGAGGCCCAAGAGAGACAGGGAGGCAGAACTGGGGTGGGGCGTGGGGGCAGCTGTCGGTGGCCACTGGCTGAGTGACCTGGGGCCAGCTGCACCCCTTCTGGACCTTGATACCCCCATCTGTAATGTAAGAGGTTGGGACTGGGTGGTCTCTAGAGAAGGAGGACAGAACGGGGAGGGGTGGGATGACCAGGAGAAGGACAGAGTCGGGAAAGTCTCTGGGCCACAAAGGTCCTCCCTGAGAGGCCGAGCGGGGGAGAGCACGATCCTCCACACTTGACCCCCTCCGCTGCCGTTCACAGCCTGCGTCCCATCTGAGCTGGCTTGAATGTGTCTCCCAAGAAGTCACGTCCGTCTGGAACCTGTGATGTGACCTATTTGGAAACAGGGTCTTTGCAGATGTAAGCCAGTTAAGATGAGGTCGTACTGGTTTACGATGGGCCCTGAGGCAATATGACCGGTGTCCTTATAAGAAGAGGGAAATTACGCACAGAGACACGGACGCACAGAGAAGGTCGTGTCGAGACAGAGGCAGAGGTTGGTGAGGCAGCCATAAGCCACAGGCAGCAGCCACCGGAAGCTGGATGAAACAAGTAAGGGTCCTCCCCAGGGCCCTCGGAGAGAGCCTGGCCCTGCCAACCCCTTGACTTCAGAGCTCTCGCCTCCAAAACTGTGAGAGAATAAATTTGTTACAGTGGCCACAGGAAACTAACACACCATCTAATCCACAGAAGATGCCATCTGTGATCCAATTCCACAAATGTGGGAGGGAGACTGAGGCTCAGAGAGGGGCAGTCACTTGTCCAAGGGCCACACAGCAAACCACGGCAGAGCCAGTTTTGGAATCAAAGGATCAAAGACCTCAAAGAGGAGCTACTCAAACTCCTGCAACTTACAGTTTCTGACCCTGGGCAATTTAACCTCCGAGCCTCAGTCTCTTCACATTTGTAAAGCTCAATAGATGTTAGCAGTAATTATTATTATTGCTGCTATTATTACTGGTGAGAAAAGTGAGTCTAGGTTGGGGAGGAGACGAGCTCAGGCTCCCCCAGCAGGACAGGGGTGGAGGGAGCAGAGAACCTCCATGCTAAAGGGCTGTGGTGACTGTCCAACTTCCTCACTGTACAGATGGGGAAACTGAGGCCCAAAGAGGGGCAGCGATGCTTTTCCCCCAGTCTCCCCACCCCACCCCCACTCAAAGGCAAAGACCCAAAGGAATGGAGGAGGTGGTGGTGGGGGGGAGCCAGCATCCTCACCGGCATGGTGGCAGCTCCTGGCAGCAGCTCTCGGTGGCTCCTGGAGACCTGGGCTCACTCCAGGTCCAGCTTATATCCTAGAATATTACACGTTAACTCCCCCAAGGCCATAAATGGGGACTTTGGTCCCTTCTGCCCGGGTGTCTCTCCTCCCACATCTCCTGGTACCCAGAACAAACAGGCGGAAGGCTCCTCACCCAGGCCCACCCCACCCAGCCCAGAGCATCCTCCCGCCTCTTCCCAGAGCCCCAGGGAGGTGGCCCGGCAGGGAGGAGAGCCAGACCGGGCATCAGGAGCCAGGCACAAACGCCACGTGAGCTTGGCAGGTCACCCAATGTCCCTGAGCCCTGCTTCCTCATCCTTAAACAGAAAGACAGGCTTTGTAAAAAATCTCTAAGCTTCTCGTTTTCTAGGATGTTCAAATTCATTTTGAGAGAGTATTTTGTCTTGTTCTGCTTCCTCCTCTCGCTCCATGACTTTTCTGATTGCCCATCAAGTTTTAAGAGCAATACATGATGGATCCAAAGAAAGCATCTAGAACAATCTATAACAAACTTAAAAGTGGAGAAGGGAGTGAGGGCTGAGGTGGTAGGTACCAAAGATTTCGATGCTTTGCCGTTCCTTCTGTTGCTTATGTAATTGACACGCTTACCATAGGCGGTTCGAGATACTAAAGAAGAAGAAAAAGACGCTCGTAATCCCACCCCAGAAGGAACTGCTGACTCTGTTGGCCCATTTCCTTCCGCGTGGTTTTCTACGGATTTGTGTCACAGACATCCCTCTGTCTATGCAATTGTGTCTCCTGCTTCACTCAGTAAACATTAAAGCCACAAATCTATACTTCAGAACTCTACTTTAACGGCAGTGAAATATTCTACCTTTCAATGACCAAATTTATTCAACCAATTTCCTTCTGCTGAACACTTACATTAATTCTAAATTTTTGCTATTAAAAACGCTGCTGCACTAAATCTACGTGCGCATAAAGTTTGGCTGCATCGTGACAACTTACTTTGGGCGGATTCCCAGAAGTGGACTTTTTCTAGAGTCCTGGTTTGGCGAGCCAGAGGGTTTCCATCAGAGCTGGCGGAGGCCGCTCTGGGCGCGGTGCTGGGAGGTGAGCCGTGCTGAGGGCCCTCCCGTGCCAGGAGCCGACACCACCTTCAGGCCCCTGCCGGCCCCGAGAGGAGGGTGATCTCCTCATTTTACCCACAAGGAACTCAGTCCCTTCCCGGCCTTTCTCCCAAGGCCGTGGTAAAGCCCAAGGGGAGATAAGGAGTTCAGAGCGCTGTCTAAACAGAAACGCGCTAATCAGCAGAAACTACACCTTGTAAAGTGGTATTTTTCTGATTATAGAAGTAATTCTAGCTCCTTGTAGAAGGTTTTGGAAAGTGCACAAAGTAAAAAGAACTTAAAAGTTCACTTGTTTTAGAAGAATGTTTAAAGACAGGAGAACATGGCCGCATTTCTGAACTGTGCACTTTTCTGTAAGTTTTACATCAATGAAAGATTTAAAAAAAGAAAAGAAAAGAAAAGAAAAAAATCACCAACACTTGCTTCTGCAACCTTGTTCTCTTGATGACGCCTACCTTCTGAAGGGTACTTTACACTTTACAAAGCACTTTCTCCAGCCCTCATAGCAATAAACTCAATAAATTCTGAAGGTGATCTTTATTATCACCCCATTTTTCAGATGGGAAAAGAAGTTTCCCAGCCTTATACAAACAGTATGTTGAAGAGCTTGCCTCGCCTACCAACCCATCACTCAGATGACTGCCAAGGCAGGTAACACTGCCCTCACTCAGCAAAAAGGATGTTTGACCTCCGGGAGTATGATCTTAAACCCTTTGTGTGGTGGCAGCCACTGGGATGGCCCCCAATGATCCGTACCTCCTGGTAGTCACGCCTGCGTATAATTGGCTCCCAGTGAGTGTGGTTGGACTCAGTAACTTGACTCTAACTAACAGAATACTAGCATGTGGGGAAATAATGGGATGTCACTTCCAAGATTAGTGGTCTCTCTCTGTCTCTGTGCCCTATTTCTGGGGGAAGCAAGCAAGCAAGCCATGTTGTGAGTAGCCCTATGGAGAGGCCCATGTGCCAAGGAACTGATGTCTCCAGCCCACTGCCCATGAAGACCTGAGGCCTGCGGACACCCACAGGAGTGAAACTGACAGTGGATCTTCTCCCATTCGAGCCTCGGGATGACTGGTGTAGCCAACACCTTGACTGCAGCCATGTGAGAGACCCTGAGCCAGAGGAACCCAGCAAAGTCCTGTCTGGATTCCTGACCCACAGGAACCATGAGAAATGTGTTTCTTATTTTAAGTCCCTAAGTTTCGGTTAACATGTTACACAGCAATAGGTAACTAATACACTTTGCCAATCAATTATTATCAAAAACTTGATGGGAAAAATAATATTTGTGCAGGCCTGCTGAATAAAGAATCTGCAGTCTGAAAACGTCCCTAGACATTCTGCCATATTAATTGTTCTAAAGAACCAGCTCTTGGTTTTGTTTCCATCATTATTTTCTGCCTTTATGCTTATTAACTTTTTCTTTTATTTTGTTGCTCTTTTCCTAGCTTGTTGAGTTGAATGTTTAGTTCATTAATTTTTCATCTTTTCTGTTCACTAATAAATGCATTTAAGGCTATGAATTTTCCCCTGACTATGACTTTGGCCACTTCTCATAGGTTTTGAGATGTTCTGCCCAATATTCCAAATGTTACCTTTGAATCAAGCCAGACAATCAGAAAGTTGTTCTCAGCACTTAGTAAGTGCTTAATAAATATTTGACTGACTTACTGAATAGCAAAAATCATCATCGTCATCATCATTGGGGTAGAGTTGGAAAGTGAAACATCAATAATATAGGATTGGCCAAGTCGATGCTATGAAAATACAAATGAATTATTATGCAGCCATCACACAGAGTCTCTCTCATGTAACACAAGCACGTATGACTTTATTCAAATGTGTAGGATTGAGGGTCTCCATAGAAGAAAAGGATAAAATACAGCCAGGCCTTAAAGAGACCAAGTCTAGGTGAGAAGACAACCTCCAGCACAGGAAACAACTAGAAAACAACTAATTACACCCCAATGGAAGGCTTCAGAAAGTCCCAGTCTCCTGGAGCAGGAGGGGGTCCTCGAATGTCATTTAGAGGATGGTACAGGACTGTAATCTTGATTCTTCCTCTTCCTAGCTGTGTGACCTCAGGGCTAGTTACTTAACCCCTCTGAGTTCAGTTTCCTCCTCTGTAAAATGAGAACAATAAGTCTTGTGAGGATTAAAGTAGATAAACCCTGGCACTTCATTAATAGTTAACAGATAATATTTATCGTTAGTATCAGGAGCCCAGTGACCTGCCTGTGTGGGCTGTGAGGGAGGTAATTCACCCCCACCTGGCGGCTGTGCCTGACCCCCAGGCCTGTGGGAATGTTCTCCTTGCAACCTCCCAGCGCCCCTTTATGATTTCTGTGAGCCTGAGGTACTTCTGCCTTCATGGGCCCCTTCCTACATTAAAAGAATATTCTAGGGGCTGGCCCCGTGGCCGAGTGGTTAAGTTTGCGCACTCCGCTTCGGCGGCCCAGGGTTTCTCCAGTTTGGATCCTGGGCACGGACATGGCACCGCTCATCAGGCCATGCTGAGGTGGCATCCCACAGGCCACAACTATAAGGACCCACAGCTAAAATATACAACTATGTACTGGGGGGCTTTGGGGAGAAAAAGCAAAAAAAAAAAAGAAGAAGATTGGCGTCAGTTGTTAGCTCAGGTGACAATCTTTAAAAAAAAAAAAGGAAAGAAACGGAAAAAAAATATTATAGGGGCCAGCCCGGTGGCATAGTGCTTAAGTTCACATGCTCTGCTTTGGCAGCCCGGGGTTCACCGGTTCAGATCCTGGGTGCGGACCGACACACCGCTCATCAAGCCATGCTGTGGCGGCGTCCCACATAGGAGAACTAGAAAGACTTACAGCTAGGATATACAACTATGCACTGGGGCTTTGGGGAGGGGAAAAAAAGAGGGAGATTGGCAACAGAGGTTAGCTCAGGGCCAATCTTAAAAAAAGTTTTTTAATTAAATATTTTATATATATTTTATATACATATACATAAACATACATATATAGAATTATATTTTATGACTGCATTGCATAAATATATCAGACATCTTCTTCTACCTAAAAGCTTATTTTATTCTGATTTTACAAGAGATTAAAACATTTCGGTGGGCCCCTGAAGCGCCCTGGGCCCAAGGCATGGTCCCTGCCGTGCCTAATGGAGAATCAGCCCGCGACCCTCGGTGACCGGCACCCCCTGGCCTCCTGCTCTTGGGGGTCTTCAGTCCTGAGGTCTGTGAGGTCCCTGCCTGTCTCCTCTCCTGTCATTCTCCTCCAAAGAACCAACAGATGGACACATCAGTGATGTTTGCCCCTTCCTCCCTCTGTGACCGCTCCCTTCGGGGGATGGTGGGGGGGTGGTGCGGAGGGGCCGAGCATCGAGCTTTTGGCATCAAATGGGTAAATGTCACAGCCTGGCTCTGTCACCTACAAGCTGAGTGGCCATGGCAAGTCACTTCGAGCCTCAGTTTCTTCATTTGTGAAAGGGAGCTAATAGTACCTTCTTCACAAGGTGATTATAAGAATTTAAAATATTTCTTTAATTAAAAAATAAACATATGTAGCATGTGGGGTGCACAGTAGATGCCAGAAATTAAGTGAGTAAAGGTGTTCCTTCCTTTCTCTGAGGGAGAATTCCTAAGTGGTTCAAGCTTCCACCTGAGATGATGAAGCCAAGAGTCCAGAAGGACGGTGGAGAGAGCAGAAGCTCAGGGTGAACTCACCATGGGCCTCCAACAGCCTGGACTCTGGCTGGCAAGCACGTTCCTCCCTCTGTCCCTGGAGGACAGGTCTCCTTAGGAAGCCAATGTCCATCCTCCCAGACCCCGGGGAGCCTGGGACCGGAGCACGGAGGGGGAGAAGAAAGATGCTGGTGAGAGACAGATGTACCACCTCAAGGGGGCCGGATGCTCCCACCAGCAGGTTAGGGGCCCTGTCTCTCCTGGACTGAGCTGGGGCTCACGACCTATGCTTTCCAATCTCCAAGGAGATCAAAAATCCTCCTTTTCCCAGCGTCTTTCTTCAGGTGTGATAACCTAAGGCATACAGAGGCCTTTCCCTGGCTGTGTGACCTTGGGCAAGTCGCATAACTTCTCTGGGCTTCAGTTTGTCCATCCGTAAAATGGAAACTGTAACCATCACGCCCTGAAGGGTAGATGTGAATCTCAAGGGAGAATATATGTGAAGTGCAAAGCACAGTGCCAACCCATGTTCAGTACCAAATGAATATTTGCTGTTATCAAAAATTATTACTAGGCCTGTTTGGACATTTGGGCCGCCTGAGCACATGTCCAGCCCTGCTTCTGCAGCTCTGACCAGCCAACCATCTGCCCTGCAAGGGACTTCCACAGAGCCCTGGCCTCATCCAGCCCAGGGATCTTCCTCGTTTAACCTGATCGCCAGGTTCTGTGGCCTCACCCTGAACACCTGGCAGCACGCCTATACTCTGAGCTGGCGTAGCCCCAGGACCCCCCAGGTTCCCTGGAGCTCTTGGGTCATCTTCATCTCACCTGGAATTGGGGAGGGGCCTTGAGGGAGGAAGGAATCTGAAGTAGGAGGAGGGGATGGACCGCTCAGCTGTCTCCGCTTCTCCCCTCCTGCCCCACAATCCTTTCACCACCCATCGGGTCTTTGTAAAATGTAAATGACAACACCCCACTCTCCCGCTCTAAACCCTCCAGGGGCTTCTCGCACTTAGAACAGAATACACACTCCCCTCTCGGCTGATGAGGCCCACCTGACCTGGCCCTGGCCACTTTGCATCCTCATCTCACCCCACATGCTCCCTGGCCAAGGTAACCTCGCTGCCCCTTGAATTCACCAAGCTCATTCCAGCCTTAAGCCTTTGTCCTTGCTGTTCCCTCCACCTAGAACTCTCCCCCAGCTCTTGGCTGGACCTTCTCATGTCAGTCTTAACTCAAAGGCAGGTAGAGGGATGGATGCATGAATGGATGCATGGATGGATGCATGGGAGGATGAAGAGGTGACTGGATGGTTAGGTGAGTGAGCGAGGAAGTGGATGGGTGGATGGATGGATAGGTGGATGGATGGATGGATGGGTGGATGGATAGATGGATGGATGGACAGATGGATGGATGG